TTGATTGTACTATTTTTGTGTATATATATATATTTTACTATATATATATATATATATATATATATATATATATAAAATTGTATTTATATTAAATTATATACATTTTTTATTAGTTTTATTATTAGTTTTTAGTCATTTTAGAGTTTATTTTTGTACATCAAGTTCCAAGTAAATAAAAAAGAAAAATGTTGCCTTGTCAACTAGCTAAAATAAGTTTGTTTGTTTTTTTAGTTTTTTTTAATATATTTTATTTATATCTTATTCACCCCGAAAATCAAGGTAAACTAAATAAAAAGAGAAATGCTGAAGCTAGCTGAAATAAATTGGTTTATTATATATTTTGTTTTATATATATATATATATATATATATATATATATATATATATATATATATATAAAATTGTATTTATATTAAATTATATACATTTTTTATTAGTTTTATTATTAGTTTTTAGTCATTTTAGAGTTTATTTTTGTACATCAAGTTCCAAGTAAATAAAAAAGAAAAATGTTGCCTTGTCAACTAGCTAAAATAAGTTTGTTTGTTTTTTTTAGTTTTTTTTTAATATATTTTATTTATATCTTATTCACCCCGAAAATCAAGGTAAACTAAATAAAAAAAGAGAAATGCTGAAGCTAGCTGAAATAAATAAATTGGTTTATTATATATTTTGTTTCTGTTAACATTTATTTCATGTAACAGAAATGTGTTTTTATTTTTGTTAGTTTTAGTTGAATTGACCTAGATAATTATGCAATTAACCATGCAATTACAATCAATGGAGACTAGAGCTTTCTGAGTCTAAAAATATTTTACATGATCATCAGTAATTGCATAACAAACTACTTAAATTTCACTGTTTTTCACATTATCAAATGACTTCACAAGGTACATATTTCATGCATAAGTCTCTCAGACTCCTCCTGTGATACTTTTATTGGTCTTTTGCACTAAAATAAGTTTGTTTGTTTTTTTTAGTTTTTTTTTAATATATTTTATTTATATCTTATTCACCCCGAAAATCAAGGTAAACTAAATAAAAAGAGAAATGCTGAAGCTAGCTGAAATAAATTGGTTTATTATATATTTTGTTTCTGTTAACATTTATTTCATGTAACAGAAATGTGTTTTTATTTTTGTTAGTTTTAGTTGAATTGACCTAGATAATTATGCAATTAACCATGCAATTACAATCAATGGAGACTAGAGCTTTCTGAGTCTAAAAATATTTTACATGATCATCAGTAATTGCATAACAAACTACTTAAATTTCACTGTTTTTCACATTATCAAATGACTTCACAAGGTACATATTTCATGCATAAGTCTCTCAGACTCTAAAACTGTGATACTTTTATTGGTCTTTTGCGTCTTTTTCAAAGCTTGAAAGCTCCAGTCCTGATTATTTGTAATTGTGTAGAAAAACACCTTTGTGTTGCAATTATAATTTTCAGATGAACTATTATGTGAAATAGTCTAATAATCTGTGAACCTGGTGGACACACAGTTAAACTTTTTCTTTGTATAATGTAGCATGCAGAGCGCCCTGAAGACGTTTGCTGTGGACGAGACCTCTGTGTCCGGCTACATCTATCACAAGCTACTGGGTCACGAGGTGGAGGACGTTATCATCAAATGCCAGCTGCCCAAACGCTTCACTGCGCAGGGCCTTCCAGACCTCAACCACTCGCAGGTAGAGAGCCCCCTTCCTCTGATTCAGCCCTTCCTCTTTCAGGTTTCTGAGACTCAAGGTGTTTTGGAACAATGTAGGTTTATGCTGTGAAGACGGTGCTGCAGCGACCCCTCAGTCTGATCCAGGGGCCTCCAGGAACCGGCAAGACTGTCACCTCTGCCACCATCGTCTACCATCTGGCCAGACAGGGCAATGGGTGAGACATGTTCCCTCATGACAGTGTTTCCACTTCCATTTCCAGTGCATTTTACAGTTTCAGCATGAAATAAAGTTAGTTGGCTACTATATTGAAGATTTCATATCATATTTAGTTTTAAAATTTCTGTAATATTAGGGTCCTATGATATCCACAATGTGGAAAACACAGACAGAATCGCATAATCCAGTCATAAACGTGCAATTACCAGTATAACACAGAATATCATGGAATTTGGCAAATTTTAAATGAATAAATCAAAAGTTGAGCTGTACACTTAACTTGTGATATTGACTAGTGTCTGTGAATATTAAAACAGAAAAAAACTACTATTTAAATATAAAGTGATGTTTGGTCAAAATAAGGTTGAAAAAATTGACATTAAAATCACCTATATTACAAAATTAATACCATAACCATAAACCTCCTAGTGCTGTTGTGCAATTAATGTTTTATGTTAAAGTTAAATTAATGTTTTATGCCTTTGTATGATTATCAATGGTTTGAAGTCTGAATTAAATCATAAATAAAAACAGACAATTTTTTTTCTATTATTGTACAATTTTTATTTGTTAAAAAAAACAGAATTTGAGAAATTTATTTCATAACTAATTTCGTAAGGCCCTAAAAATTTAATTTTTATTGAAAATGTAATAAATTGCTGTTAAATTGTATACATGTTATGATTTCAATAGTTACACGTGCTTTTTGATTTGTAAAATTTAATTTGACCATTAAAACAGATCCAAAATTAATTTTATACAAAAAAAATTATAAAGGATAAAAACTGAATCTAGGAAGATGTAAAGAGAAAAAATGAATTTGGGAGAAATATGGCCCTATAATATCAAGAGTTTTTGCTTCGTGTCTGTTTGATGGTTTAGTCCGGTGCTGGTTTGTGCTCCGAGTAACATCGCAGTGGATCAGCTGACAGAGAAGATCCATCAGACGGGGCTGAAGGTGGTTCGTCTGTGTGCTAAGAGTCGTGAGGCCATCGATTCCCCCGTGTCTTTCCTGGCTCTGCACAATCAGATCCGCAACATGGACAGGTGCAGACATTTCTGTTCTTAAAGCTCACTGTTTAATGGTGTGCTAAGGTTGGCATCCCCATTATTGTCACTCAGATTTAGGGTTGAGATTTTTTTTTTAAATCTTAATCCAGCAATGACTATTTCAATTCAAATGCTTGGCAGCGTGGCAGAGATCTTATGAGGACCAATGTATGTCTGTCTTTTTTGCAGCATGCCAGAGTTGCAGAAACTGCAGCAGCTGAAGGATGAAACTGGCGAGCTGTCATCTTCTGACGAGAAACGTTACCGAGCCCTCAAACGAACCGCTGAGAGAGAGCTGCTCATGGTACCTGTCTGACTTCACTTTAAAACACTGATAGACACCAAATGCTGGAATTACACAGCAATGTCAAGCTTTTCTAGTACATTTTCAGTGTTTATTTATATAAACGGTGCAGGCGGTGGAGCACAATAATGCTTAAGCCGTTTTCTTTGGCAAAGGAAATGGGGCATGTTTTTGTGTGGTGTTTTCCCCTGCAATTAGCACGCGCACACACAATGTTCTATGAAAAAAGCTGAATTTTCTCCTTTGTACGAATGATCCATCATCCTAGCCGTTACAGAGGCCTGCAAACATCTTGTTCTCTCTGTTTCTCAGAATGCAGATGTGATCTGCTGCACATGTGTGGGTGCAGGTGACCCTCGCCTGGCTAAGATGCAGTTCCGCTCCATCCTCATCGATGAGAGCACACAGGCCACGGAGCCCGAGTGCATGGTGCCAGTGGTGCTCGGGGCCAAACAGGTAGTGACGGGCAAATTTTCACACTGTGTATGTTAGCACACAGACTTTACATAATCCAAATATACCATATTTTCTGGAAAACAAGTCACTTGAATACATGTCACACTGGGTCAAAATTGCATTGCAATTAGTGTATAAGTATTAGTGTATTATATTTTATTTATACATTCAGAAATAATGTAAATTACTGATAATAAAACGTGTATTAGTTCCACTCACTCCACAAAAAATTATTATATATTATTATTATTATTAGGGCTGTCAGTTTAATGCGTTAAATTAATTAATTAGTTATGAAAAAATAACACGATTCAAATATTTTAGCACAGTTCATGCACTGGCCCCGCCCCCAGACCTGTAGGTCATCTTACATTTCATACAGTTGACTGTTGACAAATATGATGCAGGGCAACAACTCCATAAATGCAGTTATGCCCTAAAATTCAAGATATTGGGGCAAAAATGCTCCTGTATGAGTTTGTCTCATATTTATATCACATGATAAGCGATATCACACGAGCAGTGAGAGCAATATGACACAAGTGCTGTTTTTGTCCCTAATATAATGAGTTCAAATATGGACAATTTAAAAAAAACTAATAATAATGACAAAAACAAACAACAAAATTACTAAAACTTTAACTACAATAAAAAAATATTTAAAAAATAGTTCAGAATATTAATAAAAACTATGAATATCTCTATAAATAACATTGTTTTTAATTGTATACAAAACAAGAATGAAAAATATAAAATAGACATACATTGTAGTGGTGTTCCTTATAAAAACATTTACTATAAACACCGAGCCTAAAGGAATTTGAAGCATGGCCGCCCACTTGTTGGTCTGAATGAAAATGCAAATTCATTCTTTGCCACTAGGTGCGCTTTTAGAGCAGTAAAAATAGCTGTTTCCCCGTTAATCCAGTACACAAAGCAGCACTGCGCTCACAAACCTGCTTTATCAGGCATCACAGGCGAGATGAAATGAAAATGAGACCAATCACCGCAGATTAGCATCATGCAAAGGAGGGGTTTGGAAAAATTAATCTTTGAGCGAATCCTTTGGGAGTCGTTGAGCAAATAAGGTAAAAATAAATGCATATTATAAGACAATAAAAGTGTTTTTTGACCTTGCATGCATGTCAACCTGTTGTTGGGGTCTCCCGAAACCAAAATATGAACCTTTCATTACCCATAATAGGGGCACTTTAAATCTCTTAAGAGAACAAAACCAAAAACATTTAAATCTTTTAATAGAACAAAACTGACCAAGATTAAATTCTCTTAATAGAGCAAAACAGACCAACATTTAAATCTCTTAATTGCCTTTGAACATTTAGCCATACCCAAATCACTGCGACACTGATATATGTGCTAGATAACATTATAAATATAATATAGCTAGAGCTAGATCTGGAGGATCTAGATCATCATATCACCCAGCCCAAAAACTTGCTCTATGTTAATGCACTAAGGCATTATAGACATAACAGCATGACTTCTTGTAGAGCTGCTTTGAAACCGCATAAATTGTGAAAAAAAGCACTATACAATTAAATTTCTCTTGACTTTTTTGCTTTATATATATATATATATGTATGTATGTATGTATGTGTAAATGTTTATATTTATACATTTATATACATATAAAATGTCGGTCAGTTGACCTCTTCTTGTATAAGTGAATTTATGCCATCAGTCAAAAGTCTGGTTATGTGAGACTACTGGAAGAACAGAAACCTTTGAAAATTCATAAGCTTATTCATAAATGCTCCTTACCAGCATTAGATGAAGCTCATTCAAAGAGCCGGTCTGATAAAATCTTCTCTCTGTGTTCAGGACTGAGGCTTCTAATGTGGAGAAGATCACCACCCGTCTGCTGAAGGCCGGAGCCAAACCCGACCAGATCGGCATCATTACACCATACGAGGGCCAGCGCTCTTACCTGGTGCAGTACATGCAGTTCAGCGGCTCACTGCACACCAAACTATACCAGGTACAGAGTCCAAACAACACCTGCAAACATCCCTGCAGACTGATTTCAGCCGTTCTGTTGCATAAGTGTACTCTAGACCAGTGTTTCCCAAACTTCTTTTAGCCGCGGCACCCTTTGGAAATTTTAACAGATTTGTGGCACCCTACAAAATTAATTTAGTCACAATACTTGAATTTCTAATTTTGATATGATACCTTGAAAAGTATAGATATTCGGTACAGCAGGGAAGAACTGTAGACAATAGGCTACTGTAATACAGATATTTTTAATATTATAAACATTTTTGTCCATCAGTGGTGGCAATCAGTAGGCTCATTTCTAATGAAGAGACCAATTTATATGACAGATTTTCACGTAGGCTTTTATTTATATGTAAACATTGTTTAATTACCATTATAACTGGTTATCTCACAAATTTTTGCTCACTCAGTGTATTTTTGATTTTACAGTGGGGTAATTTTGTTGCAGTAGCACAAGATAGCTTGATTTCAAAATTTTAATTGCATAAAAAATGACAAGTAAGCAGTCAGTAATAAAATAAGAACAAATAAACAAATTACTAATGATAGCACAAAAAATAATAACGATACAAATGAAATAAATTGCTTTTTAGTTTTTCAGGTAGGTCTAACAGTAGGGCTATTAAGAGATTTTTTTTTTTTTTTTTTTTACCAATTATATCCAAATAATATTTAGTCCTAGAAAGCTATTATTATCAGAACACGTGAGCATAACATAGTGGTTAGCAGATCAATGAATGAGAGGGCAGCGTTACCAGAGTTGCCCATATACCACACCATGTTACAACACAGTAGGGCTATTGCAGACAGAAACAATACTGTACTACATCCATGTTTCCTGTTGGCTCGATTTTTGAGTGGACTTTGCTGTTCCGATGAGCACGAACGGTATATGAGTGGAGCGAGCGGAGCGCACACGGGATAATACGCAGAGTGTCACACCACGTGAAAAAGTGAAACCTGAGCGGTGAACTAATTTTCAGCAGCCGGAATTTCGGTGCATCTCTAATTGGCTACATAAGAAATGGATATTATACAATAGCTTTTTTGAACATTTTAGCAATTTAAAAATCTTATAAAAGGTTTTTTTACACGGCACCCCTGCTCTCGACAGACAGCACCCCGGTTGGGAAACACTGCTCTAGACACTCACTGTGGCAATTTAGGGTGTCAAGAAAAGCACATTTTGGTGTAAGATTGTTATTGCTCTAGTACTGGAAGTTTTTAATGGCTGTTTGACATCCAGTATCACACAGCAGCGTGTCAGTGATGTATTGATGCCTCTGTGTGTGTCTACAGGAGGTGGAGATCGCCAGCGTGGATGCGTTCCAGGGCAGAGAGAAGGACTTCATCATCCTGTCTTGTGTCAGAGCTAACGAGCACCAGGGCATCGGCTTCCTGAATGACCCACGACGTCTCAATGTGGCGCTAACCAGAGCCAGGTAACAATAGCAGACTTAGAGTAAGGTGCAGTAATTTATTACACCTCATTTTACAGTCAGTATCATTCAGGTGTCTGTATGCACGGCAGAGATGCATTTAAACTAACATGTTTAACACAGACAAAATTGCAGATTACAGTCATAAAAATTAGATTTACTTTATAAAACAGAATGTCACAGCATATGGCACATTTTGGCAGAATAAATCAAAAATAGGGCTATAAACTTGATCTATTTTTGCATGTCTCAGTTTTTTCTACTACTCACACTGCTTGTGGTGTTTTCAGTGTCTGTCGTCTCAATATATGAGGACATGAACACACAACTTCTCCAGAGCTGCTCTGAGAGTCACTTAACCAGCATTTCATTTGAGAAAAACTATGGTCAGATACACACAAAAACTCAAAGGTCTTCACTACAACTCACCAAAATAAAAGTTTGGTTTTATTTGAAGAAATTGACAACTACATTTCTTATGTTTTGTTATATGACATTAATTATGTTTTGTAGAGTATATGTGCTTTAAGTAGTAATAAAGAATAATGTATTTCATTAAATATTTATTAAAAAATCACACATTTTTATTCATGTTTTAATTTAAACGGTAAACCTTTTTTGTGCAGCACTTTGTCAACAAATAAAAGGAAATGTTCATTTGATTTAAATTTTAAAAAATGAATTAAATAATTTAAATTAAATTTGATCGTCTCTAATAATAAATTAGCTTTTAATTGTAAAACATAAAACCCAGAAAAAGTTAAATAGACAACAGAATTTCTTAGATGACACATTTCATAGGGCAACATTATTGCTAAAATTTAAATAAATTGTAAAATTTTTATGAATTAAATTTATTAGACATGCTTTTTGGTTATTAAAATGTAATTAAGTAATTAAAATGGAATCAGAGCATGTGAGCGAAGCGGTGTGACGCTCCGCTACATTTTCCGCTCTATGGACGTGCGCTCCACTCAGTCGCTCTAACCGCCAGAGCAAGCGCTCCCTTAATATTCCGCTCGCGCTCACCGTAAACCAATTCCCGCTCAGATCCCGCTCCGTTCTGTAAAGAACAAATTTGCGTGCATTATATTAGATTATAAATGACTGCTGCCTATATCTAGCCTACATTCTGAAGGACTACCTATTGTTTCGGGTCAAATTTTTATTTTTTTATATATAATATTTGAATAGGCCTAAGTGGTGTAGGCTAATATCTTCTGTACTCTGTAGTTCTGTATTTAGGCCTATATACATCTGTGTGTTAGCTTAGGTCTACAGTTTAACTGAGATTATTTAATAACTACGGAGCTCCGAATATAATTCGAATTAACAATTCGTTTCTACGATGTCAGCAGGTTTTTATTATTTTTAAAATGTATTATTATTTATTAAGTTTAAGCAATAATGATTTTAATAAGTAATTAAGTCACTTGAAATAAATAAAAAAAGTAATTGAAATAAAATATGAAAAAGGTAAACTTATTTAAAACTAAATAAACTAAAGCTAATAAATAAAAATGAATAAAGACTAAACTAAATTTAAAACAAAAATAAATAAAAATGACGAGAAAACAAAAAAATATAAAAATAACTATTTTATGTAAAAATTTTAATGTAAATATAAAAAATAAAAATATAATCTAATTCAAAATATGAACAAAAATTGTAATAGTATATAAATGATAATCAAATAACACCATTGTTTAATGATGAGCTGCTTTTGAAATAATTATTTGTGGAAAAATATGTTTAATTTGTCACTGCTTGTCTGTCTTTACAGGGCGTCCATCTAATATGTACTTCCAGACCCATGACCAGGTCGGCATGATCGGGACTGGGCCGAACCCGATGGGCTCCATGAACATCCCCATCCCGTTCAATCTGGTCATGCCTCCCATGCCTCCGCCTGGGTACCTGGGCCAGGTGAACGGACCTGCTGCTGGTGAGAGAAAACTCCAGAACACTAAACTACTGCTTTTTGAACAAGAAACCTTGACTAGCATTACTTTTTGTTGCAGCATTTTGTATTGTCTTTTTCTAGCTACTAGGGCTGGGCGATATGGACAATTTATATCTCTGTATTTTTTGGCCGATTTGCGATGTACGTTATATATCTCAGTATTTTTTTTCTGTATTTAATATATATATTTTACATACTGCTCAATGTTGTCCAACGAAACAGTACATATTAAATGCTATGAAAACGAATAAAGTGAATGTAACAATGTAAGCCTATATATTATGTGCAAAAAAGGGTCAAAATCACATTTTATTCTAGCATTAACATTACAATCTAAAAACAAAAATAATGCTTTTAAAGCAGAAGTTAAATTCGCTAAACTAAAAATTAAAATAAATAAGAGCAAAAGCACAGACTTGTATTAGGCTATTTTGATTAACCCATTACAGTCACTTTACAGTCAGTGCTATCATAAAAATACATTTACTTGTAGGTTTAAAATTCTACATATATCACATTGTCCAACTACAAATATTTCTGCGAATATATATTTTAGTCAGAATTATTGCGCTCTGTCTGTTTGGTGCACATGTGCACGGCGGCGCCCATTCACTGAAGTCTGTGAAGTTTATCTATATTTTTCAGATGCACTCGTATCAAACTACTGTATATCGATACAAACTGCCTCATACAGTATTACTTATAAAGAATATATTGATATATGTGACCCTGGACCACAAAACCAGTCATAATTTTTTTTAATTGAGATTTATACATCATCTCAAAGCTGAATAAATAAGCTTTCGTTTGTTAAGATAGGACAATATTTGGTCAAGATACAACTATTTGAAAATCTGGAATCTGAGGGTGCAAAAAAAATCTAAATATTGAGAAAATCATCTTTAAAGTTGTCCAAATTAAGTTCTTAGCAATGCATATTACTAATCAAAAATTAAGTTTTGATATATTTACAGTAGGAAATTTACAAAATATCTTCATGGAACATGATCTTTACTTAATATCCTAATGATTTTTGGCATAAAAGAAAAATCTATAATTTTGACCCACATTACAATGTATTTTTGGCTATTGCTACAAATATACCCCAGCGACTTAACACTGCTTTTGTGCTCCAGGGTCACATATCGTAATAACTCGATATACCACCCAGCCCTATTAGCTACTTTTAAAGAGCTATAGAAAGAAGCTATGGATGAAGTGACAAGAGGTGAAGCAGAACTGAATCAGGAATACGATATTAATCGGTTCTCTGTCTGTTTACAGGTCGGGGTGCTCCTAAAGGTAAGACCGGGGGTCGTGGAGGTCGTCAGAGGAACCGTGGCACTGGTAATCACGGCAGCGGGCAGGCCAACATGCCAGGCAGCCAGGCCAGTCAGGACCTGGTGTCCCAGCCCTTCTCTCAGGGTCCACTGACCCAGGGCTACATCACCATGAGCCAGCCGTCACAGATGAGCCAGCCTGGACTGTCCCAGCCTGAGCTCTCACAGGTACACATGCTCACATTTGTGTGGGATGTTCATGCTTTTATATGAGATATAAGCCTCTTGAGTCTGTGTTAAAGTGACCTCCTTTTGTTAATTCTGTAGTTTTACATGTTGTTTTTGTCTTTTGTGTGAAACAGGACAGCTACCTGGGTGATGAGTTCAAATCCCAGATGGACGTGGCGCTTTCCCAGGATTCCACCTACCAGGGCGAACGGGCATATCAACACGGAGTGACTGGACTCTCACAGTACTAGAGTGTAAGACGACACGCACGCATCTTAAAAGACCAAGCATACACTACCGAGTCAGATATGCATTTTTAAAGAAATGAATGCTTTTATTCCGTAAGCATTAAATTCATCAAAAGTGACAGTAAAGACAATGTTTCAAAAGATAAATTATGTTCTTTTGAACTTTCTATTCATCTGTGAATCGTGAAAAATAAAATGCATCTCAGTTTCCACAAAAATATCGGGCAGCACAACTGTTTTCAACATTGATAATAACCAGAAATGTTTCTTGAGCAGCCAATCAGCATATTAGAATGATTTCTGAAGATCACGTGACACTGAAGACTGGAGTAATGATGCTGAAAATTCAGCTGCGCATCACAGAAATAAATTACAGTTTACAATGTATTCAAATTGAAAAGTTGTAAAAATATTTCATGATATTACAGTTTTTACTGATTTTTTTTGATCAAATAAATGCAGTCCTGGTGAGCAGAAGAGATTTCTTTCAAACATTAAAAAAATATTACCGATGCTAAACTTATTTGAACTGTGCGTTAATTTACTAATCTGTTTAGTGTAATTGATGCCTATATAGCAGACACCCAAAATGCATAAAACGAGTTTTATCTGTGCTGTTTCTTTTGATCCATTTTGCTCATTGGTCTAGCTGTTTATGAATGGAAAAACACCTCATGTGTTCGGATTTCTCTGTCTGTGTCCGCAGGTTGTTGGAACAGGAGCTAGGCCTGGTGCTGAGCTTAGTTCATCAGCATTTTAAATATGGGTAAATATAAAAAAAGAACAAACATGGATGCCCGTTTACCACTGTTACAACTGAAGCACCATGGTGTGAGAGCAACAGGAGAGAATCAAACCAATCACAGGAGGGAGTGAAGCTGGACAGGACGAAAGAGAACGTGTGAGTGGCGGACTACATCCACCATTCGTTGAGGACGGGGAGGAGAAGGGGAGACGCAGTGTTAGGAGGAGACCAAACACGAGATCTTCGATCTGCAACTCCGCAACGTGGAGGAGGCTCCTGGAGCGCAGGGGCCCTTCCCGGCCTCCTCTCTCTCTCGCCTGGCTGCCGATGGCAGCCTCAGGCCTTGCCCTGCCAACAGAGACGGAGCCAAGATGAAGTTCTCTTAAAACTACCTGCAAAAACCACGCTTGCTCTGTCGTCTCCATGAGCTGAGAGAGGGGGTGACGTATTTCAAGTAATTATAAACGCTTTTCGAGCAGCTGATTTTCGGGAAAGTAGAGTTCCCCTCAAAGTTGACATCTGACATTCAGGTTCTACCACCGCACATCTTTGAGAGAACGGACGCCTGCGGCAAGAGTTTTCACGTTTTGTTTCGGAGCGCCTCTTGTCTCCAACCCGAGGTGCTAGGACACTCTGAAGGACGATTCAACTTTGAGGAACGTTTTCCGCCTGAAGTCCGGGAGGGTAGAGGTGCCGTGTCGAACGGAGGGCCCGTCACATCTCATCCGCTCTCCGCTAGGTGATTTGGGGTAGAAATGGCTTTGGGATGTTTAAAAATTCCTTTTAAGTGTTCTGTCCTTTGCCGAGGGACCGACGGATCTATCCTTTCTTATTTTCCTCTGTTTTAAAATGTTTTTTGTTCAGCTAGAATAAAAGCAGTGAAGTAGAACCGCTTGCTTGATTTAGATGTGGCTTCAAAATCGATCCAAACCACCGGGATCTGTGGGTCAGGAGTGTCAAAATCAGGTGAAACTCGTTCATCTGGGTCTGTTCGATTTGATGTGTCAATCAAAGCAAACTCCTCCCACTGTCCAATCAGGTGAAACGCGATCATCTGAATCTGAGACAAATGTGTCAATCACAGTAAACCCCTCCCACTGCTATTCTGTCCAATCAGGTGAAACTTGCTCGTCTGAAGCTGTTCAATTTGATACGAGACAAATGTCAATCACAGTAAACCCCTTCCACTGCTATTCTGTCCAATCAGGACGCAGTCATATTATCGTTGTGCCCGAATCGCTTTAGTTGCGCCTCAGAGAAAGCGGAAGGAGATCGCCGCACCTATGTGAAGCACAGACAGGTGAGATTCTCGCTGTTTTTGTGTCTGACCGTAAGAGGCTCGTCCTGCGCTCTTGCGTTGTTGATGATGATGATGTCAGTGTGAGTGGGTGGTTTTACGCCCCCAACAGGTGTGTGTGTGTGTGTGTGTGTGTGTGTGTGTGTGTGTGTTTTCAGAATGCCCTCCTTCATTATTATTTTTGTTGTGATAGATGTTGTTTTCCCCCCTCTTCTTAGTAGCTCACAGTTTATCTGACGTGAAGTTCTCGTAACCTCTCTCAGTGTGGAAATTGCTCGAGTTAATTTGGTTTCAATGGACCCATTCAGAGTTTTACGGCAGCTTTTAACATCTGTTCCAACCGATGCTAGTCGCCTCAACTTTGTACTTTTACTTTGGAGTGTTTATACCTTGCTGTTACTTCATACTCTCAGCCCTTTTGACTGTTTGATATTACCCACCACCACTCGCATTTTATAGCATCGAGCACAGATTAGTTTTAAGTTCACATCCTTCGCTTTCTCTTTTTTCTTTGCCCACAAGACAATCATGATTCGTTCATAACTGAGGTCGCAGAAATATCGATGCGACTTTTTCATGTTAACCTCTCATTTTAGAATGAACTCATTCTCTGAAATTCCTGTATACAGTTTAGTTTTCACCTTTCATACTTCAACTGTAAATATCAGTGCTCAGATTTGATACAACGTCAGCCAAACTGTTGCCAATGACAATGAGATGCTAACATCCACAACAAGGCCAAGGTGATCCACAGCGATGCATTCTTGTTTTAATCGAGTATGAAGAGGTTCTGCTGCGAAAATGAAATGTACAATACATTTATATGCTTTAACTTGCAATGAAGAGGAACACTGGAGAAACATCAGGATATGAAGTATAATTCAGGATTTTGTTTTGTGGAAAAAGTTTTCACCCCCACAATATGTACTACTTGTAACGTTATGAATAAATGTTGCTTTCTTTCACCCAATGCAGTTCTCAGTTCTTCATCGTCTTTTTTTTGTTTTTGTGTACATGTTTTTGGCCTTGTAAATGGAAGCTTGTTTCTGCCACAGAATAAATTCATTCAAAGTTATGATTGCAATTTGCAATTCTGATTTTTGTCAGAATTGCAAGAAACGTTAAAAATCAAAACTCTTTTCTTGCACTTCCAAGTTTGCATTGTGCATTGTGTTGACTTTTTTTCCTCTGGATTCTGAGTTTATATCTTGCAATTTTTTTTTTCTGCCACAGAATAAATGGTAATTGTGGCTTTTGTCTGGCAATTCAGACTTTTTTCTCAGAATTGCAAGAAAAGGTGGATTGTGAGATGTCACAATTACCTTTAATTTTTCATCCTGTGGCAGAAACAAGCTTCCATTGCATTTTTAACCTGGTGTATGCTAGATAGTAAGGGAGCACACTTCATGTGTTGACTTTTTCACAACCTGATTTCTGTGGTCTCAAGTGAAAATGACCTTTTTTTTGTTTTTGTGTACATGTTTTTGGCCTTGTAAATGGAAGCTTGTTTCTGCCACAGAATAAATTCATTCAAAGTTATGATTGCAATTTGCAATTCTGATTTTTGTCAGAATTGCAAGAAACGTTAAAAATCAAAACTCTTTTCTTGCACTTCCAAGTTTGCATTGTGCATTGTGTTGACTTTTTTTCCTCTGGATTCTGAGTTTATATCTTGCAATTTTTTTTTCTGCCACAGAATAAATGGTAATTGTGGCTTTTGTCTGGCAATTCAGACTTTTTCTTTCAACTCTGAGTTTTTATCTTGCGATTCGGACTTTTTTCTCAGAATTGCAAGAAAAGGTGGATTGTGAGATGTCACAATTACCTTAATTTTTCATCCTGTGGCAGAAACAAGCTTCCATTGCATTTTTAACCTGGTGTATGCTAGATAGTAAGGGAGCACACTTCATGTGTTGACTTTTTCACAACCTGATTTCTGTGGTCTCAAGTGAAAATGACAAAAGGCTTTGCTCAATGCAAATTGCATGCAAAAGTCTGTTCAGATTTGAGACACTCGTTAATGATGTGTACTAGCCTTAATAAAGAAGGAATGTTAAATCAATACAGTAAGAACTTGCGTTTTTCCAAAGTAACATTAATTTGTATTAATTGCAGAAACTCCCTGCTGCAATGTCATCCTCTTTAGTGATCGAGCAGGTCTGATGTGGCGTTTTCATCAATCACACATAAAACATAAAAATCTGAAAAATACTGTTTCTATTACCATAACACCATAGACCGTAAACATGTTTTTTTTAGCTGTTTAAATTAGTTAAAAAAAAAAAGAACATGTATAAGTTCATTTGCAAAAACAGATAACTGTTTTTAACAATTTTCAAAAATCATGTTTTCATTGTGCGTTCCAATTAATCTCAGTCAAACTGCAGTTGGGTTATTTTACTTGGTTAAAAAATAACAAAAAAATACTAACACAATTAAAAAACATTATTTTTATGAAAAAAATTATCTTTATATAACTAGTTATCTTTTTTTTCCCAAATAAACTTCATATATATACATTATTTATTTATATATATATACACACACACACTGCATTCAGAAAGTATTCAGTTAAATCAAATTTTATGTTGCAGCCTGATACTACTCTTGTTTAAATTAATTTTTTTTCTCGTTAATCTACACTCCGTACCTCATAATCACAAAGTGAAAACAGAATTTTAGAAATGTCTGTAAATGTATTAAAAAGAAAAAAACTGAAATATCACATTAACATAAGTATTCACCCTTTGCAACAACACTTGAAATTTATCTCAGGTGCCTCCCATTTCTCTTGATCATTGCTGAGATGTTTCTACATCTTGATTGTGATTGGAGTCCATCTGTGGTTAAACAAATGGATTGGACATGATTTGGAAAGGCACACACCTCTCTATAAAAGGCCTCACAGCTGACAATGCATATTAGAGCAAAAACCAAGTCATGAGTAGGTATGTGATTTTTCTGTATAAATATGGATTTCCATATTTTCCGACCTCTGAGGGACGATCCGTGTAGATCTGAGTGTTTTTTTTAAACGAGCCATTTCCACACAAATATGAAGCCGCAAAATAGTTTTGAACATTGATAATCAGAAATGTTCTTGAGTCAAATAAATTGTAATGATTTCTAAAAGGTCACGTGACACTGAAAACTGGAGTAATGATGAAGAAAATTCTGCTTTGCATCACAGGAGTAACATTACATTTTATAATATATTAAAATTGGAAAAAAAATTTAAAAATTGTAATATTTCACAATATCGCTGGGTTTTTTTGGGGGGGTTTTTTTTTTTTACTTTTTGATCAAATAAATTCAGCGTTGATGAGCAGAAGATATTTATTTCAAAATCATTAATTGTAATGTTTCCAAACTTTTGGCAGGTACTTTAATAATAACAATTCTATATACTTTAATATATTATAGTTTATTATATTATATCATACTGTTATCATGATTATTAAATGCTGCTTTTTATTTTTTACAGGACAATAGTATGTATTATTACAATATAAGATATATATTTTAATGTGCTCAAATATATATTTTTCATAAGTGCTTGGGGCGTGGTCAAATTATCCTTTTTTTTCTTTTTTTTTGTCTCTAGCTGATCACATGCCTGCACGAGGTCAAAGGAACTGCCTGCAGTGCTCAGAGACAGGATTGTATCGTTGCACAGATATGGGGGAAGACTACAAAACAATTTCTGCTGCACTAAAGGTTCCCAAGAGCACGACTTTTTTCTCAGAATTGCAAGAAAAGGTGGATTGTGAGATGTCACAATTACCTTTAATTTTTCATCCTGTGGCAGAAACAAGCTTCCATTGCATTTTTAACCTGGTGTATGCTAGATAGTAAGGGAGCACACTTCATGTGTTGACTTTTTCACAACCTGATTTCTGTGGTCTCAAGTGAAAATGACAAAAGGCTTTGCTCAATGCAAATTGCATGCAAAAGTCTGTTCAGATTTGAGACACTCGTTAATGATGTGTACTAGCCTTAATAAAGAAGGAATGTTAAATCAATACAGTAAGAACTTGCGTTTTTCCAAAGTAACATTAATTTGTATTAATTGCAGAAACTCCCTGCTGCAATGTCATCCTCTTTAGTGATCGAGCAGGTCTGATGTGGCGTTTTCATCAATCACACATAAAACATAAAAATCTGAAAAATACTGTTTCTATTACCATAACACCATAGACCGTAAACATGTTTTTTTTAGCTGTTTAAATTAGTTAAAAAAAAAAAGAACATGTATAAGTTCATTTGCAAAAACAGATAACTGTTTTTAACAATTTTCAAAAATCATGTTTTCATTGTGCGTTCCAATTAATCTCAGTCAAACTGCAGTTGGGTTATTTTACTTGGTTAAAAAATAACAAAAAAATACTAACACAATTAAAAAACATTATTTTTATGAAAAAAATTATCTTTATATAACTAGTTATCTTTTTTTTCCCAAATAAACTTCATATATATACATTATTTATTTATATATATATACACACACACACTGCATTCAGAAAGTATTCAGTTAAATCAAATTTTATGTTGCAGCCTGATACTACTCTTGTTTAAATTAATTTTTTTTCTCGTTAATCTACACTCCGTACCTCATAATCACAAAGTGAAAACAGAATTTTAGAAATGTCTGTAAATGTATTAAAAAGAAAAAAACTGAAATATCACATTAACATAAGTATTCACCCTTTGCAACAACACTTGAAATTTATCTCAGGTGCCTCCCATTTCTCTTGATCATTGCTGAGATGTTTCTACATCTTGATTGTGATTGGAGTCCATCTGTGGTTAAACAAATGGATTGGACATGATTTGGAAAGGCACACACCTCTCTATAAAAGGCCTCACAGCTGACAATGCATATTAGAGCAAAAACCAAGTCATGAGTAGGTATGTGATTTTTCTGTATAAATATGGATTTCCATATTTTCCGACCTCTGAGGGACGATCCGTGTAGATCTGAGTGTTTTTTTTAAACGAGCCATTTCCACACAAATATGAAGCCGCAAAATAGTTTTGAACATTGATAATCAGAAATGTTCTTGAGTCAAATAAATTGTAATGATTTCTAAAAGGTCACGTGACACTGAAAACTGGAGTAATGATGAAGAAAATTCTGCTTTGCATCACAGGAGTAACATTACATTTTATAATATATTAAAATTGGAAAAAAAAATTAAAAATTGTAATATTTCACAATATCGCTGGGGTTTTTTTGGGGGGTTTTTTTTTTTTACTTTTTGATCAAATAAATTCAGCGTTGATGAGCAGAAGATATTTATTTCAAAATCATTAATTGTAATGTTTCCAAACTTTTGGCAGGTACTTTAATAATAACAATTCTATATACTTTAATATATTATAGTTTATTATATTATATCATACTGTTATCATGATTATTAAATGCTGCTTTTTATTTTTTACAGGACAATAGTATGTATTATTACAATATAAGATATATATTTTAATGTGCTCAAATATATATTTTTCATAAGTGCTTGGGGCGTGGTCAAATTATCCTTTTTTTTCTTTTTTTTTGTCTCTAGCTGATCACATGCCTGCACGAGGTCAAAGGAACTGCCTGCAGTGCTCAGAGACAGGATTGTATCGTTGCACAGATATGGGGGAAGACTACAAAACAATTTCTGCTGCACTAAAGGTTCCCAAGAGCACAGTGGCTTCCATAATTCTCAGATGGAAGAAGTTTGGCACAACCAGGACTCTTCCTCAGCCAAACTGAGCAATCGATGGAGAAGGGCCTTGTCTAGACTGGTGACCAACAAGCTGATGGTCACTCTAGTTGAGCTCCATGATCATATATGCAGATTGGAGAAACCTACAGAAGGACAAACATCACGGCAGCACTCCACCGATCTGGGCTTTATGGCGGTGTGGCCAAACTCAATCCTCTCTTCAGTGTAGACGCATGAAAACACGCTTGGAATTT